CAACTGTGGTGGGTGAGGGCGACCTTGAAAGCTGCTGGCATAGCTGGAAAGACCTTTTTCTTGCTGCGGTGAAAGACAATATTCCAACCAAGCGATTAATAGGTCGATACCCCGTGCCCTGGCTCACAGGTGCCGTTATCAATCTTATCAAGAAAAAGGAAACCGTACGCAGGAAACTAAAATTACACCCGTCGGAGTCACTAAAAGTCAAATTTCAAACTCTGCGTTCACAAGTAAAGCGCGCGATCAGAGAAAGCAGGGACGAGTTCTTTGAGTCTGCTAACATCGAGTTCAAGATCAATCCCAAACGTCTCTGGTCAGTATTAAAAACTCGCTCAAAGTCGCGCAACATACCACAAAGTGTCTCCATGTCAACTGGTAACCTACGTGCAACTGCTGACACCCCAGAAGAAATCGCAGACATTTTTAATAACTATTTCACTTCAGTGCTCTCTGTTCCTCAAGAGGACAAAGTGGATAACGGCGCAGGGAAATTCCTTGCCCCAGAACCCTCCTTTAGCGATATTGTGTTGCACGTCGGCGAAGTTGAGGCTGTCCTAAAATCACTAGACCCAAACAAAGCTACTGGTCCAGATGAGATCCCGGCTAAAATCTCGTTGAATCTCCCCGACTAGGACAAACCAGAAAAGACAAGGGACTTCCGCTATTCACATGTCACACGTCTATCAAAACTGTCAACGCGCGAACGGACTCGCGATGTTGTGCTTGAGAAGCACAACATCTGAAAACATCGGAAAAAACATTAGCAATGTTGAAATCTGAGTATGGGAAATAGGGTACACTACAAATTTAGCTATGACACTCTCTATTATTAAAAACTGAATCAGTTGATAATGCAATTCTAGCATTTTGATTTGCTTAGCCGTTATGGTATATGAGCTATTATACCATGCTCTCCATATATGGTTGGTGTACGCGTCAGTTTAAAATTGGAAGCTAGCTGAGATTTTTTTCACGAAGGATAGAACGGCGCTCGAAGCAAATCGTTTTAATTCATTTCTTAGAATACTAGAAATGCAATTTCATCGAAAGAAAAAAGACAAAAACAAACAAAAAAGCCACAAGAGCTTGTTTGAAAGTTTGTCGAAAAACACATGAAAACACATGGAACTAAAGTACCTTGACCAGCTACGAAAGACAAGTGTTGTTTCTTTATGGTCGCGAAGCCATTCGCCGATCAAGTCACTCGCCGATAGATAACTGCGGCTTGTTCATCCGACATCAAGAATATAAATCACAAGTAACCAGCTACAAGTACAGGCTATGCAGCCATTCACTAGAGCAATCGAGACGGCAGTATAACTTCTTTTCTCGTTCAGCAAAACCGGCTTGTGGCTTCAAACAACTTCATAACAAGCGACCGAGGTAATAGTTTTTCTCCGTTGTTCTTACTTTTATAACTGCACCGAAAATCCAAATTCACAGTAATTTCGACGGCTGTCACTTTAAAATTCTTTTCCTTCTCATTATCTGCCAGGTTTTTTAGCCGTTCTGCAGTGTAAAATCCTAGATTCCCGATGGGTTTTTAAAAAAACTAATGTTCATCGCTACAATGTTTTGATTTTTTATTCATGCAGTCCAGGCGAGTCCGTTCGCGCGTTGACAGTTTTGATAGACGTGTGACATGTGAATAGCGGAAGTCCCTTGTCTTTTCCGGTTTGTTCTAGTCGGAGAGATTCAACGAGATTTTGTGGGCGTTTTTAATAAAACAATTATTCCACTCGTGCTTGTTGGATCTGAGATGATTATAGCCAACTCGGCGCTACGCGCCTCGTTGGCTATCTATCATCTCACATCCAACGTGCCCTCGTGGAATAATTGTTAAGTATGAATAGGACAGGCAGCAACAGAAGGAGCAGAGAGGCCAGCAACTACATTGTACATATTCATACAAAAATATAATTTTTAAAGAATAAATCAATTGTCCTTGACATTCATATACTGATATCCTAAACAAATTTCCGTTATTCTTTGGTTTACGCATTCGAAAATTATTCTCGCTATGCTAAATTTTTGCCAGTCGAAGATATTTCACTCACCAGGAGCCGCGGGCTTCTCAGTGGAAGCGCTAGCCTCCCCTGGTCGCCAATCATCTTCAACTTCTCCCAAATAGCAAATGTTTATATTCCGTTTGTTACTCAAATTAACCAAATGAAAAAGCGATACTAAACTAAATCCCCGAATCGCACGAAACCAAAAAGGCATTTTTCTCTTTTCTCTCAACAGAACAGATGATCGAATTACGTGTCAAATTTTCGCTTGTGCGAATGAATTGAATCGCATCGTATCTTGCACTAAGAACATGCTCTTAGCGTAAATTACTGATTTTCAGAGTCTCACATATCAATTTTTGCTCAAATTTTTAAGAACGGTAAGAGAAATCAAACGCAAAAAGGGAACCTGAGGCGAACGAGGGCTGTCCAATACTCACAAATAGACTCCATTGGTGTTAGCGGTTATAAGAAGGATGTCCATTGGTAATGATGGTAGGATTGGTACCAGTAGAAAAGGATCTCATTCCAATGGTTCTATTGGTGAATTTGCATGTCATTAAGGGGACTTAGATTATTTTCCCATGTGGCCTGGTTGGGGACAGGCCTATTCCGATGGTCCATTGGTGCCAGTGGTACGATTGGTACCATTAGACAAGGAGTGTCATTCCAATGGTTCTATTAGTATAGCATAGCATAGTATAGGATAGCATAGCATAACATATCTTTATTGCACCTTACACTCGAAAGGGAGTTGTTGGTCTAGTTACAATAAAGGTTTTCATAACTACAACAAATTATCTAAAATATGAACGGAAACAACAAAATTATACAGCATATACCAATCCGATAATAACCGTGCTAGAATTTAATCAATTCGATTTGTTGACTCAGGATCTGTTTTCTCTTTTGAAACATTAGATGGGCATATTTGGCTATAACTTGTGAAGTATTGTCATTGTCTAATCTAAGCAAATACAAAGTTCTATCATGATCTGTTAAATTGATGAAGTTTGCGTCATTTTCAGAAACATGAAAATAAAGTTTCTGTCTGAGACTATCGTATTCCATACAATCAGTTAAGAAGTGTTTCTTGTCTTCTATGCAGTTTCTTTTTCAAACTAAACAAAGCCTTTCCTCTACTGGTGTAGAAGCTCCTTTGTTTTCATATTTCCTTTTTTGTATACGTAAAGTATGAACTCCCAATCGCAGGCCTATTCCGATGGTCCATTGGTTCCAATAGTACGATTGGTACCAATAGAAAAGGACGTCATTCCAATGGTTTTGTTGGTGAATATGAGAGTGACTTTAGTCACTTGAATATAAAACGGCTCTTTTAGGAGCCACCAAGTACAATGCAAAGTTATACCCAATATCATGTCATATATAACAACCCTAATGGAAGCACTTTATTCAACACTTGTTTTGTTTTAAAACATTTTCATGTAGATAATATTGCGCTAAGTTTCAGAAGTTAACTTTCACAGTGAGTTGAGTACCACCAGCTACGCATATTTTTTATTGTAACAAGAGCCATAGTGGGACCATTATGGCTCTTGACTATTACTATTAGCGCGTTTCCATTGGTGTAAAAGCGAACTTGTTTTGCGTTGATGACTTGTAGAACGGAGAATACTCATGAAGTGTTTGTATTTTGACCTCGCTTTATTATAACTATTAGCAATTACTATTAGCGCTAGCATATTTTGACCTCGCTTTGTAACTGTTAGCGGTTTCTACTTTGTGTATGTGAAAGCGAAATTGTTTTTCGTGGTTGGCTTATAGAATGAGGAATATTCATGTGATGTTTGTTTCTCATAGTTGATGCTTAAAGCACAGGATAATACCAATCAACTGGCTTCTTTTCCATGGATCGATCCTGCAGGGGCAGTTCAGGTGTTAATGAGATGCATTCTCCTTCTCGCACTACTGAATGAGATGCATATTCACCAACAGAACCACTTAGATAGAGATAGATAGATAGATAGATAGATAGATAGATAGATAGATAGATAGATAGTATCTATCTATCTATCAAATAATTATTGGCTAAACGTTGATTTTCAACTTAATATGCTAATAAATGTTTTTTAACTTATAAGATAATTACATTAAAAAGACTACAAGTGATTTAAAACAGCAAATAAGGACTATATATATGTTCTAAAAAATATATAGAGAGGAGGTTTAAAAAATCTACTAAAACCGTTCAAGCCTTAAGGGCGTTAAAGGTAATAAAACTACTACGAAACCTGTTCGTCTTGAATGCTGGCTTAAACTTCCGCATATTTCTTAGGTTAAAGGTACATGTGTTGCGAGCAGGAAGAAGTTCATGGAGCTTGTTCTGTTCGTTCTGTAAAACATTCTTAAATAGTTTATCAACTAGTTCTTGCCGGCGGTCTGAAAGTTTAGTTAGGCCTGATTTGAATGACATCCTTTTCTGTTGGTACCAATCGTACCATTGGTACCAATGGATCATCGGAATTGCCCCGTACCCAGCCAGGCCATAATCTAAGTCCCATTAATGAGATGCATACTCACCAACAGAACCATTGGAATGACATCCTTTTCTACCAATGGACCATCGAAATTGTCCTGTACCCAGCCAGGCCACGTAGGAAAATAATTTGAGTCCCCTTAATGAGATGCATACTCACCAACAGAACTATTGGAATGACATCCTTTACTTTTGGTACCAATCCTACCATTGGTACCAATGGACCATCGGTTTGACGAATCGTATCCGTTTGTGTATATTGGACAAGTGTGGAGGCGAACAACTTCGCTTCTCAAGACCACATGTTCGATGGTGACCCTTTCGCGATCGTCTTTATTGAGTTCTCACCTCGTTTTCGTTCTCGTTTTCTAGCTGCCGGTCAAGATCGCTTTCCTCTCCACTGTCCATTCCTTCAGCGGAGTTTTCATCATCAAAAATCATCTGTAATTTATCACCTCGATTGTCGTTGGCATTTACCTGTGCCTGGCATTTCAAATACACTTTTTCCTACCCAATTATATCTGCAGGTGCTAAAGAAACAAGATCAAAAGAAGGGGAAAATAACCTTCGTAATCGACATAAAACAGGTATTACAATATAATCTGGTTTTATCAACTGAGTTGATAACGTGAATTAACCACCTGTAAGAGATTATGAAGCTGACGTTTCGAGCGTTTGCCTTTCATCAGAGCGAATGGTTATACTCCCACAGATGCAGCATCACAGTTTCCCTAGAAGCCAACCCCCATAAAACAGGAATTGTGTAATTTAGAATTCTGTCACTTATTGTTACAGTACATTTTGTGCATCGTAAACTGAACAATTTTATTTTTTCATTTTTGCACCTGATAAAGAAACGAAGCCCAATGAAAAGAAAAACCGATCTCAGAATCCAAGAGAAGCAGGTACAGTCGAACGTATATCGTAGAATATTTTGAGGCATATGCATGTTGATAGTTAAAAAGCATTTTACGCAGTGAATCTCCTCAAACATTTTAAAACAAGGATCCTTGGTCCGATCATTGAATGTTGAAAGCATTTGCAAATGATAATGCCACGAAGATTAAGAGCATTCGTTTAGTTTCAGTATTTAAAGTGAGCTAAATTTGCTTCAAGCTTTAACCTGAACAAAAATTTTTTTGGTTCTTCTAGTCGATCGATCGATTTATTGTGAGATCAATCAGCTGTGAATAATTTTGGATGTCTTAATATATTATTATTATATTTTAATATAAAGCCATTTTTAATTACGCCCTTTTTAGCAACTTCAGTGTATCACTTCAGTGCGTCCGCGCCTTACAGGTGGCAGTTCAAAGAAGAAGATTCCCCTTCCTGGGGTGATTTCGGACCATATGACAATGATGCTTTGGAAAGGCTTTATTGCAAGGTGGAAAACTTGGAAGTTGACGTAGTCCTTGAGGACACTGCAATGAGGTAAGAAAGCTTTAAGGTCCTCCTTATTTGGTCTTGGATACTCGAAACAACCCTTCCCCTCGAGAGAACTTTACGGAGCATTTGTATGGAGTTATGAGTTGTAACAGCTGTCAGCTCACTAGTCTCTCTCGTGGCAGCCAGGCAGGTTACATATTGGAAAAGATGGAAACAATTTGAGCCGTTTCGTCTTGGGCAGGCGATCCGAAGTGTTTACATGAGAACAAGTTGTCCCACCTGATAGAGTTACCCTAGCTGCAGAAGCGAGAGAACTCGTTAACCCGAGTTGTCACGACCCCTGAGACGAATTCGCTATATTTTCATATAGATGGTCGATTCAGTTAAATTTTTCGAAAAAAAATGTGAGAGGTGCACTCGGTCAGGGTAACTCATGGGGAGGGTTACCTCGGGTACCCAACACCGTAAGAAATGAACCCTTAAAAAGGTGAGCATGTACTGTTAACGAACTCTGCCAAGCGGATTTCTGATATCGATTTGTGTGGTGCACATCAGAATACTTAATTTATAAGCCAATTCGCCGCTCACCCAGTCTTCAGATATTTTGGATAGAATAGGAATTTTGTCCTAAAAGATAATTGGCAATAGTCTTTTGGTAATTTACAGCGTTTTCTGGAGGCGATTAGAAATTTTCCGATAGCTATAGTTTTTTTTCTCCCTGAAAAAATATGAAATATCAGAAATCGAATGTAATGGTAGTCTTTCGCTCAAAAACGTTAATAACGAGGGGTTTTCATGGAAACACTTCACAGCCTTTGTAGAGACATCGTAATTTTTTGTCTTTGTTTTAGATATTCAAGACTATTATTAGCACGATTATCAGTTAACTTTGAGGAGATGTCGATGAGCTCGCATTCCTCCGAGAAGTTATTACTCCGCCGGCTCTCGGGACCGTCCTACGTACGGGAACCGAGCAACAAGTCATCCACACAGTGGGTTTGGTATTGGCAAGACAAGGATGGATGGAAGAAATACGCGGAAACGCTGGTAAGTGGAAGTTTTGCCTGCTTAGACTTAAAACGTCATCGAGGTACAAGAGGGGGAAGATTAAGCTGCTGGCAAACCCTGCCTCCCTTTCACACACACACAAACACTCAACATATAAACAAGTTGAAATAAAACTACGAGTCATGCATGTTAAATAGAGTCCTTTTGATACGAAGACGGGACAGTCTAGGAAGAGGGATCATGGCGGAGGAAACCTGGTAGAGTTCATCGTCATAAGAAACGCGAGGACGGGATCGAGGGCGGATCAGTGTCGTATCATTGTTTACATTTTTTTTACTAAGTAATGTCATCATTTAGAGAGGTTCGCGACCTTCTCCTTGACAGTTTCGATGACGGGAAATAATAGGAGGACGAATTTCTTCTTCTCTATGATTCAAACGCGTCTAAAAATCCTGATTTTCCGTACGAGTGCTATGGGGAATTCTCCCTTGATGACCTGGACGACAGCGAGTGTTTAGCCGAGTTTTATGTTCATAAAACTGACATCCCAGTTCTGCCGGATGCCTCTCAGCTCCCTCAGACTTTCATATGCCGACAAGGAACAAAATGTGATGGTATTAAATGGTTAAATGTTACCTTCTGCTTCGTAGCTTACAGGGATAGTAATGAGCACAAGTGAACTAACACAAACATAAAAAAAACTACGCTTTATGTTTTGGTACTTGCCGATTTTATTTCTGTCGTAAACTCCATCAGACAATCTCCTGGGAAAACGTACTATATCTTTACAGTAACACTGTGTCATGAGCAGATGTACGACAGAAAAAATACTTAGTCGCTGGCAACTGAATTTAAAAGCCAACTGATGCTATTATAATCTTTTAGTTTAACAATACTCAAAATTTACTAGAATTATTATTTTAAGTGAATTGAAGTAAAAATCCATCAAGCAACTAATGTGCAGTCCTCAATCTGAGGGATTATTTGAAAATTATCCAGCGAAAGAAGACTGCATCATTTGCTATGAAAAGGGTAAATCCTCATGGAAATGATACAAAGCAGATCAGAGGTCAGTGGGAAAGAGGGGCAAATAGGCAGGATTCCATCATCTGAAGAAAATATAGAGTGCGTTCCTTTGGGATGATCCAGATCAGGATCAGTGATCTCGGATCACTGATACTGATCCGGATCATCCCAAAGGAACCACCCATAGATAACTACTACTGTTTACACACTTTCACCTCTTGAAAATTTGGAAACAAATTGTCCAGCGTTTCCTCAATATTTTCTAAGAAATAGCTTCTGTTAGTCAAGAAGTATTTTGGTTTCTTATTACCCCCTACACATATACCCTTCTTTGAGAGACGTGTATTGGGTCTCCAGATTCTGATGTCAGAAGAATACATACTATAAATAGCTTTTTTTTTACATGGTGATCATTTTGCTTATTCCCATGACCATTCTGTTTGATGACAGGCTGCAATATTGTAAGGGCTATTACACACTTGTCACATTTAGGGGTTAAAATATACACATGTCAGCCTATGCCATACGTTTCCAGTGCCTCCTTGTCAATCAGGAAAATCTGTTAAGACTCCAGTCTATTTAAGATATTTTGTTGTGATACTTTATTCGCCTTATCAACAAGAAGGGACACAGATATACCTAAAACAATAAAGGTTGCTTTGGTAATTTGTGTATACAGAACAAGGCAATGATATGCTTGAGTGATCATTAAACAATAGATTCTCAGTGCACCATTACCAATGCCCAAACCAACCTTTATTGAATCAGCTAAATTTATACATATCATAAATTCCATGACATTTTTTATATATTATTCTTGGAGCAAAAACTACCTATTTGCTTGAAAAGTAACAGAGAAGTCTTTGTCTTCTCTCTACTACTCTAAATGTGCAGGGTCTGTAGTGGGAGCGCAGAAGGGGGTACGAGAACAGTCTTAAACATGTACAGTCGACTCCCGATAACTCGAACCTTCAAGGGAAATCGAAAAAAGTTTCGAGTTATCGGGAGTTCGAAGGAAATAACCGAGAGTAAGGTAAAAAGCAGTTTTTACTGCACAGTGAACATTTTAATCACATTTAATTGTAGAAATGTCAAGTGAAAATTAAAAGATACTTTTAGGTTATAAATCAGAACGTAACGTAAAAAAACATAGCCTAAATAAAGCCTGCGTTTTACTGTTTTGAGAAGAAACGCTGCTTCACGTTAGCCTGTGACAATCAAGATTAGCCTTCACTAGTAAACTATACTCCTACAACAAGTCAATAGGAAATCCAAAATTCAATGTTTCGGGCGCCAGTAGAGGGCTTTTTTCCCGACTTTTTAGGGGCTCAAAACATGGTTCGAGTTATCGAGGGTAAAATTATAAAGAAAATGACCTAAGGGGAAACAAAAATTGGTTCGAGTTAGCGGGAGTTAGAGTTATCGAGGGTTCGAGTTACCGAGGGTAAAATTACAGTGAATGTATGACGGAAATCCAGGGGAAATCGATTTTGGTTCGAGTTAGCGAGGGTTTGAGTTATCGGGAGTCGACTGTAAATAATAAATGTGGGGAACACAAAAACAAGGGCTCCAAACTGATCCATGTGTTAATTATTATCAGCTGAGCACAAGGCCAGTTAATTATTTTAAGACCCTCATTTGTTGTCTGACTCATTTTACAAGCCTGAATAGGGATTCAACAAGCTTGTCTCCGAAATGGGTCAACTTTGATTTGGGTCACATCATTGTTCAACTCTGCAGTAACCCTGTGCTTTTTTGTTTTAAGGTTTATAGGCTTTCTTTTAGTGGAAAGTGCACTTAGCTTATCCAGCTAGTTTACAGGCACTCTACTGTAATAACAAGTCATTCTTACGGACAAGCGTACACGAGTCTTTTTAGTGGCTGATATAAAATTAAATGAAAAAGTTTCTTGTTGTCTAAGCACTCTGCAGTCCTATGGCCAGCTGCCTGTAGTTTTGTAGGCTCAGTTGGTAACATTTTGCAGGTGAGGCTTATTGATGTGCTCAGATCACAGATGCTAACAGTAGCACTTGTACTGATTTTCCTTTGATCAACATTCCTGCCTACATACAAAAATGTTATCAGAAAACATTAAAACTTGCATCCCTTATTCAATTAATAGCCTGTCTTCTAACAACCTAACATTTAATAATTTTGTAACAGTATTTTACCATTTAGGTTTTAAGCTTTCTTTACAGTTGTAGCAAAATATATGGATTTCATAGAGTGATTTTACTTGACCCGTAAAACAGATACTAACAACTAGTGAATAATAGCAACAGATAAACAAAAGAAGACAATAGAGTTAGTGTATAATAGTGCGTAGTATTCTACTACCTATTTCACGGGTCAGGTAAAATCACTTTAGCTTAAAAATAATATTCACACAGTGAATAATGGATTAAGTGGTCACTCGCAAGAGGTTAAATAATCAGATATAAAACTATCACCAAGGTACAAGATGTTTGATCATAGCAACCTTTTTTACGCAAGGGAAAGTTTGATGAATGCCGCAAATCCTCTCTAACAATTCCCCCATCTTTTATAAGTCCCTCTCTCCTCATTCTTCACAGCCAAATTACTAACCTCCTGCGCCCCTCCTACAAACATGCTTGAAATAAATTAGTGCCCCGGGGTCCTAACTAGAGGATTTACGGTAGGAGGTCACTTACAGGAGATTATCCCGCAAGGTCCTAGTTAGGTATTTCAATATTTTTAATAAAATAAATGGAAACTTCTTTGGGTGAGCAATTTGACTCTGGCCTGAAGGAAATGGTTTAATTCTCTGGGGGTTGCCTACGCAGAGAGGGCTACATGGGTGGGTGATATTGGGGTTGCATTTAAACTGAGTTACTGGAATGGGTTTACACATTTTCACATGATTTTACTTCAGAAGTAAACACAAAATAAGTACAGTCGACCCCCGATAACTCGAACCCTCGCTAACTCGAACCAAAATCGATTTCCCCTGGATTTCCGTCATACATTCACTGTAATTTTACCCTCGGTAACTCGAACCCTCGATAACTCGAACTCCCGCTAACTCGAACCAATTTTTGTTTCCCCTCAGGTCATTTTCTATATAATTTTACCCTCGATAACTCGAACCATGTTTTGAGTCCCTAAAAAGTCGGGAAAAAAGCCCTCTACTGGCGCCTGAAACATTGAATTTTGGATGTCCTATTGACTTGTTGTAGGAGTATAGTTTACTAGTGAAGGCTAATCTTGATTGTCACAGGCTAACGTGAAGCAGCGTTTCTTCTCAAAACAGTAAAACGCAGGCTCTATTTAGGCTGTTTTTTTACGTTACGTTCTGATTTATAACCTAAAAGTATCTTTTAATTTTCACTTGACATTTCTACAATTAAATGTGATTAAAATGTTTACTGTGCAGTAAAAACTGCTTTTTACCTTGCTCTCGGTTATTTCCTTCGAACTCCCGATAACTCGAACCTTTTTTCGATTTCCCTTGAAGGTTCGAGTTATCTGGAGTCGACTGTAAATATATGATTGACTAGTGAGGGGTTTGTCTTGATGAATTAGAAAGCAGTAAAATACGCGCCAGATAAAAACCAGCTGCATTCAAGTAAGAGAGTGACAGTGACAAAAATACTACTAAGATGCCAAATAATACAATCTTGCGTTAATTCTCTAAGTTTCTTTTTATTTCTTTGTCTTTTCTTTTTTCCTTTTTTGAATCTTCCGGGGCAAAGCAAGAGAAAATAGAAGCTCAGTATCTAAAAAAAAAGGAAATTTACCTTCTTAAAATTGGCCCTCACAATTACCTAATTACATTCGACGATAAACCTATGTACCAAAGAAATGTGGATTCAGGAGTTGGAACATTGCGTCAAGTAAGAAGGAGACCACTGTTAACAAAGAGGTGGGTGACCGCAGTTGTGTATCTCCGCTTTATTCGCTATTGCTTATTTTTGTTTGTTTTCCGTTGTTTTTGTTAATGTTTATTTTTCGTGTTTTGCTATGATTTAGGGCTTGAAAAGCAAGTTATAAGAACGTGCCAGAAATGTTTTTGCCCGACAGTTTAGATGGTGCACCTAGCTACATTTAACGTTATTGTAGATGCAACAGCGGGCGTTTCTCGAGTAAAAAGTTATAAGAAATTACCCTTCGCAGTTTTTCTTTTTCTGTCATTATTTAGGGCTTCTTGCGGGGATTCTACTGAAGCAGAGGAATTGGACAAGAGACCGCCGGGTTCCTATATTCCAAGTCACTGGTCCTCTATGCCGCCCTGTGAGCAATATACACACATTTCGTTACCGAAATTTTCGAAGGAATTCAAAGAGGTGGAACAGCTGTTCAGAAAATGGATGGAAAACGACATGGAAATCGAGAAAATCTCCCGAGTGCAGAACCCGTTCTTGTGGGAAACCTATTGCAGGTAACCGTAACCTACGACCGCACAAGAGATATATAATACACACCCAACCTACTTTAAGTGGTAACGTAGGATAAAAGTAATGGAATTCTCCCACCCCTCTTCCCTTACCCGAGGGAAGCGGAGAGGGGTGGTGAGTTTCACCTTTGTTTAAAAGATTGGTATGCCTCAGAAATGTACAATACACGGCCAAGTTAGAGGCGAATATAGAAAGGTCACGAACTACTTTTTAATCTTGAAACGTGGTCAGTGCCTTTTAACATTTCATCTACACTTCATGATGGAGGGGAACGTGATTTTGGAGAAACCTTTCCTTAAAAGTTAATGAACATTTTAAACCAGTCTCCAAACATTGAATTACGCAAAGAAAAAGGTCTGATCAGTTGGTGATAATCAGTGACAATATGTGGTTGACAAGGTGCGTTAAAAGGTTGTAATTTAAAGTACTGGATTAATTAGCTCGGCACGCGATTCTAAAACTGTCAACATCTGTCCTTCAGCACAAACAGTCAATAAATGACTTTCTCTTTCCAGGAAAAAGGAAAACATGGCAGAAGTAGCTAATGGTGATCAGCGCAAGGTCAATGAGAAAAGATTGTTCCACGGAACCAGTCCAAGCTCCGTGGAGGCCATCTGCAAGAACAACTTTGATTGGCGTCTAAACGGCAAGAACGCGACTGCGTATGGTAAAGGAAGCTACTTTGCAGTGAAAGCATCCTACAGTCACAAATACACAACAGAAGATGGCAATAAGTCTCGATTCATGTTCTTAGCTAAAGTTCTCGCAGGTTCGTATATAAAGGGCGAATCCAGTTATCGGAGACCACCGCCGAAGCAACCATCAAATCCCGTCAGCGACCTGTACGACTCCTGTGTGAATCGTCAGTCGAATCCAACCATCTTTGTCATCTTTGACAAAAATCAGATCTACCCAGAGTACATCATCCAGTATCGCTCCAATTAACCAACTTCACAGAGAGTCGAAATGCTGGACCTCTAAAAACACTCAATACAGAAAAGACTCATTACTCTGTCTAATACCAATCCAGGCAACCTGCCGATATGGCCATATTAGAGCTAACGCACATACTTCCAAAGGGACTTGAAAAAAGCCTTTGACACCATGGATCATGCTATCCTACTTAGAGAGCTTAAACTATATGGGATCACTTCTCAATCTCTTACCTGGTTCCGGTCCTATCTATCTGTAGCGAAAGCAACAAACGTTTGTTGATGGAGCTCAATCTGATTTCTGTGATATAACAAGTGGTATTCCACAGGACTCTATTTTAGGCCCTCCTTTATTTACTCTTTATATTAATGATCTCCCTTCAAGTAATTTGTTTTCAAAACCCAGAAGACCCATGTGTCCTTGAACATAAAATGTAGTATGATATGAATTTAATTCAGTCATAGCTGTCAGCAAACAAATTGACTTTGAATGTTAAGAAGACTAACTACATGCTTATAGGGAGTCAATTTCAGATATCCCAAATAAATAGTGACTTCACAGTGAAAGTCAAAAATACACCGTTAGAAAGAGTAATAAAACACATATCTCTTGGGGTTCAAATTGATGAATCTTTAAACTGGCGCCCACACATTTATACGATTTCAGGGAAAATATCCGCTGATCTTGCTATCTTAAAGCGTGTAAGTCATTTTGTACCATTTGATACTAGAGTGAATATGTGCAATGCACTGGTAATGCCATATTTTAATTACTGTAGTGCTGTATGGCGTAATATCAGTAAGTGTTTTGTTGGATGAGCAAGGCTGGGAAATAATAATGACAATAATTTATACAGCGCTATTCAGCTACTGTTTCATAGCACCTTACAATGATTATGTTAACGTAGAACCTAAAAGCTAAAAACTAAAATAAAATACCCAGATAAATGTGTTACAAAGCTTAAAAATATATATACATTGTACAAGAAATGACAGTTAAAAATCTAAAGTCTAAAAATACTAAGATAAAATTACAGATAATGAAAGAATTAAAAAACGTGTATTAAAAATAGAAGTTAAAAACCATGGGCTTTTTTAAAAAGATAAGTCTTGAAATGTCTTTTAAAAATAGCGATTGATGGAGATTTACGAGTGCTAAGAGGCAAGTTATTCCATTGCCTTGGCGCAGCAATGCTGAACGCCCGATCTCCAGTTTAGTTTAGCCAGTGGCACAGTGAGCAGTTGTTACCCACTGGAGCGTAAAGACCGAGAGCAGCTACGATGGCTCAGGAGACTAGAAATATATGAGGGTGCTTTTGTCATTGAGCGCTTTATAGACTTAAAAACAATACGTGAATGTACGGGGAGCCAGTGTAGCTTGAACATTATTGGCGTAATCGAATCATCCTTCCTTGTCGAATATGTAAGAATATGTAAGACATAAACAGTTGGTTGTGACAATGTATAAAATCCATAATGATCTTTCCCCCTCGTATCTGAGGCGGATCTTTACCCACACCTCAAATGTACACTCACACAATCTTAGAAATTCTAAGTTAAATTATTATGTCCCCAGACCTAGACTTGAGTCTGCAAAGGGGAGCCCACTCTACACAAGATCTGTTCTGTGGAACAAGATTCCCTTAGAGATTGGAAACCTGCCTGGTTTTAATGTTTTTAAAACTTCATTTCACGGGAAAGATTATCTTAATACACCATGACTCACTGTAACTCTTATTATTATATGGTTTTTTGTATTTTTCACTTTATAGACAAGTAGTTCCCCAGAGTATTTTAGTCTAATTTTACACACGATTCCTAGGAAGACCATGTAAAAATGATACGATTTCATGTATAAATGCAGGGACCGCGCAGGGGGTGGGGCTGCCCCCCCCCCCCCCCCCCCCCCCCCCCCCCCC